TCCCCCACCCCAACATTTTAGAGTTGCTGTTTTAGAATGACGGCCCCTTCTGCTTGACGGAAAAGGTCGCCACGAAGCACTGCTGCTCTGAATAGCAAAAGGAGGAGGTACAAATGCTAAACTGGCCCCAAAAAACAGCTCTCAAGTTTAGCACTAGAACTTATGCAATGCTGCAAAACTTTTGTACCAGGATGACTAGTTTTAAACTGCTGGTTGATAAATATACATTTACATATAGATATAGGTATAAAAATTACTAAGTCAACATTTGCTGTTTTCAATGTGAAAACGATAAAAATGTAATTCTGAATAATTGTGCATTTGCCATGGGTCCTTGTTAAAGGGACCATAAAAATAATTTTGTAATAAAAAAACCCTTTTTTTTTTCTTTTTTCTTTTTTTTTTTAAGTTTAGTATTGCCCTCAAGTTCAAAAGTTTGGAGCAAACGTGCTGAGTAAGCAGGACTGGAATCCGTTCCTGCCAGGGATCTGGAAGCCTGAAACTTAGTGATCCCCGATGGCAGGCCCAGAGAACCTGGCAGCCACTGACTAGCTTAGCGTGACCGCTGCAGGGCTGGGCAGTGCCAGCGGACCCCGTTAAGCAATCGGCCTCCGCCTCACGTTTCACTGGCGGGTGCTGCTGGTCACCGATTCCCTGCGCAGAGCTCTGGAAGGGGGGGGGGGGGGCGGGGCGGCACACGTGTGCTGGGGCTCTGCCTTCTCTTGAGCTACCGGACTGAGCAACTGGGGGTGGGGGGCGCAGGGCTGGGGCCTGGGCCGAGACCACTGAGCACCAAGGCTGAGGGTGACTGGGGGGCTGACCTTCTGCTCGGCTGGAGGTGGGGACGGAGGAAGGAATGGGCCTTTCAGTGATACAGAAGTTAGCTGTGCAGGAAGGAAAAGTGCATTTAAGGTAGCTTACGACAGATTAAGACCAAACTGCCACAGAGAGGGAGGAAGCACAGAGAACACTCCCTCCACCTGCCGTTGGTTGGCCATGCTCCTTGGATTCTGTGGGTTAACATTCATGCTTTCTGATGCGAGTCTGCTCGTGAAGAAACAGGAACACACGTTCTCCTGGTTCTGGCAGGTACACGATTTTCTTGGCAGAGTTCTTTTTTTGCCAAGTTCAGTTTTATTTGGTTCCTGCTCTGAACCGCTGTCACCGGAACTCGTAGATGGGTGCGCTGTGTTCGGGAACGTGAGTTAGATTGAGTGACTGATACCTGCAATGTGGGAAAAGAGAGACACGGGAGGCAGTCTGAGCATCCTGAAAACCAAACAAAGGATGTCCAAAACTCCCTCCCTGCCACCGGAGCGCCTGACGGGCCACCCTCTCGGACCGGAACGCAAATTCATCTCAGGTCTCGTCAGCTGAACCGACTCTGGTTTTATTTGTTTCTTTGGTTAATCCTCCCGAATGGGGGTAAGAGGAGCTGTTTTTAGGCCTTTCCCTTTTGCTCTGACCATGAAGCAACCATGGTACGTCTTGTAAAAGGAGAGGCGGAGTACGCTGTGGGAGAGATGCAGACCGAGGCCCCGGGCCTCATCCTCACCTGCCACGCTGCCCGGCCTCCCAACGGCCAGCACCTCATCCCCCCCCGTGTGTCAGGCTGGTGCACCCTCAGGACTTCGTGGGTAACACAGGCACACCCCACTTCTCATGCAATGCAAACAGGCCATGGAAGAGAGAACTTCCTCGCTAACCGTAAATCTTATTTGACCCTTTGGCTTCGTTTTCTCGCCTCCCTAGACACGGCTATTAGACTTTGAGAACATCAGAGCTCTGACGTGTATGTTTCTGCCCCGTCGGCAGGCTGCTCCGAGGAGCTAAGCAGATGAAAGGGAAACGGCGGCCGGGACAATCCACACAAGGGGACGATAACCCCCAGGGACAATCAGAGCTGATGGGGTAGACGTCAGCTCTCCTCTTACTTGTTTCACAGAGGAGTGAGGAGCAGCACAGGAACAAGCAGTTTATTTCTCAACAACAATAGCAAAGAACAAAACAAAACAAAAATCAAGAAAAGATCATGCATTAGCCATCGGAATACGTGAATCAAAACCACACGACACCTGCAGATGTCGTACGCGCCAGGAGAGCTGTAATTGTAAAGACATCATAACAAGCATTGGGAATGATGTGGAGAAACTGGAGCCCTTGGGCCCTGGTGGGAACGTACCAGGGTGCAGCCGCTCTGGAAAACAGGGAGGTGGTTCCTTAAAAAGTTACAGAATTCCCATATGACCCAGCAATTCCACTCTTAGTATCTGCCCAAAGGAACTGAAAGCCGGGACTCGGATGCGTACACAGCCTCACTCACAACAGCATTATTCACAACAGGCAAAAGGTGAAGACGACCCAAGTGCCCAGCAACTGATGAACAGAGAAGGAAAATGTGGTACAGTGGTCCCCCCCTCTTATCTGTGGGGGATACGCTCCGGTACCCCCAGCGGATGCCGAAAACCGTGGATGGTACCGAGCCCCGTACATACGGTATGGTTTTTCCTGCACATACATACCCGTGACAGAGTACAACTTATAAATTAGGCACCGTAAGGGGTTAGCAACAATAACTAGTCAGCAAATAGAACAACTATAACAATATACTGCAATAAAAGTTACGGGAACGTGGGCTCTCTCTCAAAATACCTTATTGTACCGTGAGGATGTGAGATGACGAAATGGGTGCGGGAGGAGACGAAACACGGAATGACAGAGGCGCTGTGACGGGCTGTTAGGCTACCACTGACCTTCTGACACTGTCAGGAGGACGATCGTCTGCTTCTGGGCTACAGCTGACCGCGGGTAACCGAAACCCCGGAAAGCAAAACCGCAGATAAGGAGGGGCTACCGTGGATCCAGACCGTGGAAAGTTATTCAGCAATAAAAATGGGGAGTGCTGACACCTGCTGTAACAAGGCTGAAGCTTCAAAGGCCAGACACAAAGGCCACATAGTGTATGGTCCCGTTTATATAAAATATCCAGAACGGGCAGATCTACACAGCGAGAAAATAGATCAGTGGTTGCCTAGGGCCAGGAGGGGATGGGGAGTCGGGGTGATGGTCAAGGGGTACGAGGGTTTCTCCCTGTGGCGATGAGAACGTTTTAAAATTGACCGCAGTCATGGCTGCACAGACCACTGACTTGTACAGCTTCAATGAGCAAACCAAATAGTGTGTGAATTATCTCAATAAAGCTGTCATTTAAAACAGGATATAACATGTTTTGAAAACTCATTTGAAAACTGAACAACTACTGAAACCCTGAGAGTTGTGGCTCTCAGAGGCGCTGAGACCGCACTGAGCCACGGGCACGTATTTGCAGGTATCACTGGGCTGCCACCGAACGAGGAATTTGAGTCAAGCTGGGGTGGCATCACTTACAAGTCACCAAAGTGTGAGAAATTGGGAAGGGAATGAGGGGTCTCTACATTCAGAGAGGAAATCAGGTATTTTATGAGACGGTTCCTTCTTCAGGTACAGCCAGGTGCTTTGAGAAGCAGCGAGGAGGCAGGAGATTGCCCCCAAGAGGTGACAGAAGCTAGCACCTGAGGTGGCATTCAGTCCTTCACCTCAGGTGAGACACAGGGCAGGACCGCCAGCTCCACGGGGGGACCCTAGGTCACCAGACCGAGATCAAGTGCATGTGGGGCCAGCATCTGAGGAATGTGACCACAAAATCGAAAAGGCTGCTGACAGCAAAATTCACCCCAGCAAAATTCATAGTTGGATTTTACATTTTAGTTACTGATTAAATTTGGGAGGAAATACAAAAGCAGCAAGATTGGGAGAAACATTGCTGATAACACAGAACTGCTTGAAAGCTGTCAGCAACGAGTTCCTTTATCTACACTTCACTTTCATCTTGTTTACTCTGCTCCGTGTAGAGGGACGGGAGCCCCTACACCAGCAACTGAGATCGCTTGGAGAGGCCCTCTGCATGCAGACAGAGCATGAAAGCTATGCAGAGACAGGGGAGAGGTCTTCTTTTGGTTTGGCAAGCCAAGGAAGAGCCAGGGGGACAGCAGCAAGCCGCCCCCTCCGCCTCTTGGGTTCCTTACCATTCTGAACTCCTATGGTAATAGTAGCCCTCTATGGAGGCTGCCGACTTCTGGAAGCAGATGTAATAGAACCCAGCAAAGGAAGCACCGCTGATGTCTTTGATCGTGTGGTCTGGGACCAGGAACTGTTCCTGCACAGAGACAGAGGAGGTTAGTAACAGACGGTGTGGCCCGGCCACCTCTGGTGTTCCTCATTAGCCTCCAGGTGCTTCTAAGGTTCCACTGTCAACACGGCCTTGCCCAGACCTGCTGGACAATGGCCAACATGTGCGTTTCAACCCAACCTGCCAATAGCATCTGTGTGTTGCTCGAGTATTCTAGATGCTAACACAGGAGCCTGTGTCTTGAGCTCACTGAGGTCAGCAGTGAAGAGAAGGCCCTATGGTCTACATATCTCGTAAGTGAATCGATACCTACCTACCTTTCAGAGCCCACAGACAGAACCACCCAGGGAGAGAAATTCTCTGCTCCACCCCAGGAACTGGTGCTAGGTTCCTGATCATCTCTAGAACAGCAAGTCACTTCACTCTGAGGGCAGATCACACCCCATAACACCCCCTGAAAAAGCTCTACGCCTCGGCGACAGCCATCAGAACAGCACCTTGGGAAGAGGCAAGCTTGTTATCTCTGGCTAGAGCCAAGCTGAAAGGACCTACTGTCCCAGTAAGATGAAGTCGGTGCCCCCAAGGCCCCAGGAGGTCTCCTGAAGGCCCACAGTGAGTCACCCTGAGAAGTTCTTTTTTTAAGTTTATTTTGAAAGAGAGAGTGGGGGAGGGGAAGAGAGCGAGGGAGAGACAGAATCCCAATCAGGCTCTGCACTGGCCGTGCACAGCCCGATGTGGGGCATGAACTCACAAACCTCGAGATCATGACCTGAGCCAAAATCAAGCCACCCAGGTGCTCAATTCTTTTTTTTTTTTTTCCAAAACACTGTCATCTTTTCCTTTCCTAAACCTCTGAATGGTAGTTTTTAAAATTAATTTTAAAATAAGAACTTTGGAGGATACTTCTTCCAACATGTTATTTCACTGGCACACTTCCCACTAGATGGCAAGCTTACAGGGCAGGACCCCGCTCTGACTCTCCACGCCTGGCAAGCGTCCACTCAGAAAGTGATGATCCCCCCCACCCCCCAAAAAAATTAGCTATACAAGCTAAAGATTGGGAATCACTGGGGCGCCCGGGTGGATCAGTCAGTTAAGCGACCGACTTTGGCTGAGGTCATGATCTCGTGGTCCATGAGTTCGAGCCCTATGTCGGGCTCTGTGTTGACAGCTCAGAGCCTGGAGCCTGCTTCGGATTCTTCATCTCACTCTCTGTCCCTTCCCCGCTCGCTCGCGTGCTCTCTCTCTCTCTCTCTCTCTCAAAAATAAATACTAAAAAAAAAAAAAAAAAAAAAAGATTGGGAATCACTACTCTAAATGATTGGCTTTTCGGAAAGCTGGCGAGATTTCAAGACAAAACGGCTTTTCCCCGCAGATTGGGGACCAGGGGTTGGAAGTGGATGTCCGTTCACACAGTGATTTCACAAACTGGCTTCATGATTGTGCTATCCTGGAGCTGGAACACAGTAAATACCATACTATCAAAACAGGGAACACAAAAGCCTTGTCAGCCCCAAAGCCAATCTATCGAGTCCAGCCAGATGCAGTTCTCTGAGGGCTGGTGAGTGGAAAACCCAAATTCCATTCCTGGTCCCTCATTTCCTGAGCTGGAGGGAACCAGACAAGCGGAGACGGCACCGAGCCTTCAGCAAGGACGTGGTGAGGGAGCGGTCCCTTAAGGGGGTGTCGCAGCCTGTGGCTGAGAACCGGAGGTGGTGGGTGACTGACTTTGGTTGTCCCCTGAATCCACAGGACACTTGGGAGGACTCCACCTGGACGGTCAAAGGTACCGAGGGGGACCACCCCCTAGCCACGAATTCGTCAGCTGACCACCAAACAGTTTAACCAAAGAGAAACCATCCGGGAGGGCAGCAGTCTGCCAGAGTGGCCTGGAGCTGTGCCCGCTTTCCGTGAGCGTTAAAGGCACCGCACGAGGACAGGGCAGATGGGGCGGTGGGTCCAATGCAGGCACTGGCACAGCCAGAAGACCGCCTGGGGTGGGGCCTTACCTTCCACCTCATGAAGACATAATCTCCATTCTTCAGCTCTTCGTAATCAAAGTCATCTGAATTAAATGATTTTGCATACTGATAAAAAGCCAGAAACTTGCCCTGAAAGCAAAAGACACAGCATGAGAACTGATCTACGGAGGGAGAGGCTGGTGTCAGAACGACCCTTCTGTGTCCGCCGGCGACTGCCTTTGCAAACGCGTGCCAGTTGCTGGAGGTGGCCTGACCAGAGCAGCAAAGGCCGAGGCCTGGAAGGGGAGCCCAAGGTCCCCACCAGTGACCTCAGAGCTGGACTCCAGCTGAGGCATCATGGGACTACGCCTGCCTAGTTCACGTTGTCCGAGAAAAGGCCCCGGGTTGGGAATGGATGCTATTCTGGGGGCCCGTTCTCAGGACACTTTTGCACAAAGCCAGGAATGACTAGTGATATCTCTGTAAGGGAGTCAACAGTAGCAACAAGAGTCATGCAGAACAACTGAGAGCCAGCATGTCTCACCGAAGGGGGAGAGAGGGCTTACTACAGTGGGGTTCTCTGACAGAGTAGAGTGGCTTGGGGCCAGCTAGTGAAGAAGAAACAGGAAGTGGGTAATATACGATTAATTTCTTTTAAAAAAGGAGACCAGATGGACTTCAAGATGTATACAAAGCGGTTATCATCAAGGCAGTATGGGACTGGCACAAACACAGACACTCAGATCAAAGGAACAGAATAGAGAACCCAGAAATGGACCCACAAACCTATGGCCAACTCATCTTTGACAAAGCAGGAAAGAATATCCAATGGAACAAAGACAGTTTCTTCAGCAAGTGTCGCTGGGAAAACTGGAAAGCGACATGCAGGAGAATGAACCTGGACCACCATACACAAAAATAAACTCAAAATGGATGAAAGACCTAAACGTAAGACAGGAAGCCATCAAAATCCTCAAGGAGAAAGCAGGCAAAGACCTCTCTGATCTTGGCCGCAGCAACTTCTTACTCAACACGTCTCCGGAGGCAAGGGAAACAAAAGCAAAAATGAACTATTGGGACCTCATCAAAATAAAAAGCACAGCGAAGGAAACAAGCAGCAAAACTAAAAGGCAACCGACGGAATGGGAGAAGATATTCGCAAATGACATATCAGATAAAGGGTTAACTCAACACTCAAAAAACAAATAACCCAGCAAAGAAATGGGCAAAAGACATGAACAGACACTTCTCCAAAGATATCCGGATGGCCAACCGACACATGAAAAAATGCTTAAAATCACTAGTCATCAGGAAAATACAAATGAAAACCACGATGAGATACCACCTCACACCTATAAGAATGGCTAACATTAACAACTCAGGCAACAACAGATGTTGGCGAGGATGCAGAGAAAGAGGATCTCTTTTGCACTGCTGGTGGGAATGCAAACTGGTGCAGCCGCACTGGAAAACAGTACGGAGGTTCCTCAAAAATTTAAAAACAGAGCTACTCTATGACCCAGCAATTGCACTACTAGGCATTTATCCAAGGGATACAGGTATGCTGTTTCGAAAGGACACATGCACCCCAATGTTTACAGCAGCACTATCAACGATAGCCAAAGTATGGAAAGAGCCCAAATGTCCACTGATGGATGAATGGATAAAGAAGATGTGGTATGTATATACAATGGAGTATTACTGGGCAATCAGAAAGAATGAAATCTTGCCATTTGCAACTACATGGAGGGAACTAGAGAGTATTACGCTAAGCGAAATTAGAGAAAGACAAATATATGACTTCACTCATATGAGGGCTATAAGATACAAAACAGACGAACGTAAGGAAAGGGAGGCAAAAATAATATGAAAACAGGGAAGGGGACAAAACAGAAGAGACTCTTTTTTTTTTTTTAATTTTTTTTTAACGTTTTATTTATTTATTTATTTAAAAAAAATTTTTTTTCAACGTTTATTTATTTTTGGGACAGGGAGAGACAGAGCATGAACGGGGGAGGGTCAGAGAGAGAGGGAGACAGAGAATCGGAAACAGGCTCCAGGCTCTGAGCCATCAGCCCAGAGCCTGACACGGGGCTCGAACTCACGGACCGCAAGATCGTGACCTGGCTGAAGTCGGACGCTTAACCGACTGCGCCACCCAGGCGCCCCTCGTTTTATTTATTTTTGAGACAGGGAGAGACAGAGCATGAACAGGGGAGGGTCAGAGAGAGGGAGACACAGAATCTGAAACAGGCTCCAGGCTCTGAGCTGTCAGCACAGAGCCCGACGCGGGGCTCGAACTCACGGAACGTGAGATCATGACCTGAGCCGAAGTCGGCAGCTCAACCAACTGAGCCACCCAGGCGCCCCCAGAAGAGACTCTTAAATATGGAAAACAAGCAGCGGGTTACTGGAGCGGTTGTGGGAGGGGGAAATGGGCTCAATGGGTAAGGGGCACTAAGGCATCTACTCCTAAAATCATTGTTGCACTATATGCTAACTTGGATGTAAATTTAAAAAATAAATTAAATATATTAAAAAAAAAGGGACACCAGAAATAGATTACAAAATTGTGTCTCATGATCCTATTTTTATTTAAAAAAAAAAAGGTCAATACTTGTTTTAGCTTTGGTATTATTATTATAGATGATTTTTTTCCTTTTGTTTTTCTACTTATTCAAATGCTTAAAAACAAGCATGTAATAATTTTATAAGAATTACACCTTAAATAAAATTTAAGATACAGAATTATTAACCCATAGAATTTGTCACACATGTATTTCTATCCTCAGTAGATTAAGTTTATGGAATCTGGACTTTATGGTACCACCATGATATCAACTTTATTATCACTCAGGAAAACCTGAGCATGAAATAATACAGTGCCTCTAGTTTACAGGGAGTCCAGTTTTATTTTGTTTTGTTTTGTTTTTTTATGTTTATTTAGAAAAAGAGAGAGAGCCAGAGCATGAGTGGGGGAGGGGCAGAGAGCAAGGGAGACACGGAATCTGAAGCAGGCTCCAGGCTCTGAGCTGTCAGCACAGAGCCCGATGCAGGCTTGTACTCGTGAACCACAAGATCGTGACCTGAGCTGAAGTCGGACGCTTAACTCACTGAGCCCCCCGGGTGCCCTGGCAGTCCTGGTTTTATTGCACTTCACTTTATTGCTGTTTGCAAATGTTGCATTTTTTTTTACAAACTGCCAGGGTTCCTGGCAACCCTGATCGAGCAAGGCTATTGGTGCCATTTTCCCAACAGCATTTGTGTCTCTGTGTCACATTTTGGTGATTCTTGCAATATTTGAAGCTTTTTCATTACTATTTTATTTGTTATGGTAATCTGTGATCAGTGATTTTTTTTTTTTTAATGTTTATTTTTGAGAGTGCAAGCACAGGAGGGGTGACAGAGAAGGGGGACAGAGGATCCAAAGTGGGCTCTGTGCTGACAGCAGTGAGCCCGACATGGGGCTCAAACTCACGAACTGTGAGATCATGACCTGAAGTCAGCTGTTCAACCAACTGAGCCAACCAGGCACTCCTGTGATCAGAGATCTTTTTTTTTTTTTAACGTTTATTTATTTTTGAGACAGAGAGAGAGAGAGAGAGAGAGAGAGAGAGAGAGCATGAACGGGGGAGGGTCAGAGAAAGAGGGAGACACAGAATCTGAAACAGGCTCCAGGCTCCGAACCGTCAGCACAGAGCCCGACGCGGGGCTCGAACTCACGGACTGCAAGATCATGACCTGGGCCGAAGTCGGACGCTTAACCGACTGAGCCACCCAGGTGCCCCACAGAGATCTTTGATATTACTATTGCAATTGTTTGGGGGCCCATATAAGTCAGCAAACTTAACTGATAAATGTTGTGTGTGTTCTGACTGCTCCACTCACTGGCTGTTCCCCCATCCGTCTCCCTCTCCTCAGGCCTCCTCCCTCTTCCTTGAGACGTAATAATACTGAAATGAGGCCGATTAAAAAGCCTGCAATGGCCTCGAAGTGTTCCAGGGAAAGAAAGAGTTGCACGTGTCTCACTTGAAATCAAAAGCTAGAAACAATTAAGCTTAGTTGAGGAAGGCATGTCGAAATCCAAGAGAGGCTGAAAGCTTGGCCCCTTGCACCAAACAGCCGTGTTGCAAATGCAAAGGAAAAGTTCTTGAAGGAAAGGAAAAGTTCACGCCAGTGAACATATGGATAAGAAAGCGAAACAGCCTTATTACTTGTTTATTTTTAAATGTTTATTTATTTATTTTGAGAGGAGAGAGAGAGAGTGCACAAACAGGGGAAGGGCAGAGAGAGGGCGAGAGAATCCCAAGCAGGCTCCATGCAGAGCCCATTGCAGGGCTCGATCTCATGAACCATGAGATCATGACCTGAGTTGAAGTCAGGAGTCAGGAGCCTAACCAACAGAGCCACCCAGGCGCCCCCTCAAAGCTGCCTTTTTGCTAATGTGCAGAAAGGGTTAATGGTCTGGCTAGAAGGTCAAACCGGTCCCAATGTTCCCTGAAGTCAAAGCCTAATCCAGAGCAAGGCTGATTCTTTTCAATTCTGTAAAGGTCGAGAGAGGTGAGGAAGTGCAGAAGGAGAGTCTGAAGCTAGCAGGGGTTGGTTTGGGAGGTTTAAGGAAAGAAGTCATCTCCATAACATAAATGTGAGAGGTGAAATGTCAAGTGTTGATGCAGAAGCTGTGGCAGGTTATCCAGGAGATCGAGCTAAGATAACTCATGATGATGGCCACACTCGATGAAACAGCCTTCTATTGGGTGAAGACGCCATCGAGGGTTTTCATGGCCAGAGAGGAGAAGTCAATGCTCGGCTTCGAAGCTTCATAGGACAGGCTGACTCTCTTGCTAGGGGCTAATTCAGCGGGTGACCTGAAGTTGAAACCAATGTTCACTTACCATTCTGAAAATCCTCGGGCCCTTAAAATTTTATGCAAAATCTACTCTGCCTGTGCTCTATTAATAGAAAAAAGCCTGGATGACAGCACATCTGTTTACAACATGGTTTACTGAATATTTAAAGCCCACCGTTAAGACCTACTGCTCAGAAAAAAAGATTCCTGCTTACTGACAATGCACCTGGTCACCCAAGCACTCTGGTGGAGACATACAGTGAGATTAATGTTGTTTTCATGCCTGCCAACACAACACCCGTTCTGCAGTCCATGGGTCAAGGGGTAGTTTTAACTTTCAAGCGTTCTTATTTAAGAAGTATAGTTCCTAAGACTATAGCTGCCATAGATAGTGATCTCTCTGATGGATGTGGGCAAAGTAGACTGAAAACCTTCTGGAAAGGGTTCACCATTCTAGGTGCCATCAAGAACATTTGTGATTTAAAAAAAAAAAAGAAAGAACATTTGTGATTCATGGGAAGAGGTCAAACAATATCAATGGGAGTTTGGAAGAAGTTGATTCCAACTCTATAGATGACTTTGAGGGATTCAAGACTCCAGTGGAGGCAGACGGGGAAGAGATGGCAAGACAGCCAGGGTCAGAAGTGGAGCCTGAACACGTGACCAATGGCTGCAATCTCGGGATGAAACTTGAACGAATGAGGAGTTGCTTCTGATGGGTGAGCAAAGGAAGTGGTTTCCTGAGATAAGATCTACTCCTGGTGAAGATGCCATGAAGATTGTTGAAACGACAACAAAGGATTTAGAATATTACATGAATTCAGTTGATAAAGCCGCAGCAGGGTTTGCGAGGACTGACTCCAATTTTGAAAGAAGTTCTACTGAGGGTCAGATGCTATCAAACAGCATCCCGCACCACAGAGAGATTGTTTGTGAAAGGAAGAGTCGGCCAATCAATGAGGCACACTTCACTGTTCTCTTATTTTAAGAAATTGCTACAGCCATCCGACCTTTGGCAACCATCACCCTCATGAGTCAGCAGCCATCAACATCAGGTGAGACCCTCTACCAGTGGGGCGCCTGGGTGGCTCAGTTGGTTAGGCATCCGACTCTTGATTTCAGTTCAGGTCACGACCTCACCATTTGTAGGATTGAGCCCTACATCAGGTTTGGCTCTAGCAGTGTGGAGCCTGCTTGGGATGCTTCTTGCTTCTCTCTCTGCCCCTTCCCTCCCCCACACTCTCTCTCAAAATTAATTAACCAAAAAAAAAAAAAAAAAAGACCCTCTACCAACAAGATTGGGACTTGCTCAAGCTCAAAGGATGGTTAGCATTTTTTAGTAATAAAATACTTTATTTATTTATTTTTTAATTAAAAAAATTTTTTTTAAATGTTTTTATTTATTTTTGAGACAGAGAGAGACAGAGCATGAGCAGGGGAGAGGCAGAGAAAGAGAGGGAGACACAGAATCTGAAGCAGGCTCCAGGCTCCGAGCTGTCAGCACAGAGACTGACACGGGGCTCGAACTCACGAACTGTGAGATCATGACCTGAGCTGAAGTCGGACGCTCAACCGACTGAGCCACCCAGGAGCCCCAGTAATAAAGTAATTTAAAATTAAGGTATGTACATTGTTTTAGACACAATGGTATTGCATACTTAACAGAGTACAGTGTAGCATAAATGTAAGTTTTACATGCACTGGGAAACCAACAAAATTCATTTGACTTGCTTTATGGCAACGTTTGCTTTGTTGCAGTGTTCCGGAATGGACCCTGCAATATCTCTGAGGCAGGCCTGCATCAGGTGCTGCAAATCCCTGACAGACAGAGGTGCAGTACAGAGCTCCAGGAGCCCCACATGGGCATCGGGGACTCCTGCATGGGCTGGGAGAGTTACGGGAGACTCTGAGTCCTGCACAGGTCCCCAGACTGCTGGGTGAAGAAGAGCCCTTAGGCCCAGCTCCTGGTCCTCTCCCATCTAGCATGCCGGGAAGGACCCAGGGAGGCCTTCTTAGACGCTCTTTCACTCAAAATATTTCAATTTAGCCTAACAGAGGTAGGAACAGATATTTCCCAGTATTCTAATGGAAGTCTGAAAAATTAAGAGTTGCTTTCTATGTATTTAATTCGTAGCCAACCTAACTTAAAACTGACTTTTCATAGAGTCTCAAAAGACCTTGCTTTTTTGCAGAACCAATTTGAGCTGGAAAACAAAGCAGGATGGGAGACAGGCTGTCATTCGGTACAAGAAAGATCAGGAAGATCGTTCTCACGGGGACTGTCTGGGAGAGGAAGGAGCCACCTCATGAGGTGTCGAGCTGTGCAGGAAGAGCCGGCCTTGGGCAGGGTGGGGTCAGATGGCACCGAGGAGCCCTCCACCACTTTTCTGATGCCCGCACGACCGTGTGCCACTCGGGCTCCCCAACTGAGTTTTTTTTTTTTTTTTTTCAAGTTTATTTAAGAGAAAAAGAGAGAACGAGCGAGCAGGGGAGGGGCAGGGAGAGAGGGAGAGGGAGAGAGAATCTCAAGCGGGCTCCAAGCTGCCAGCGCAGAGCCCGACGCGGGGCTCCAACTCATGAACCGTGAGGTAATGACCGGAGCCGAAACCCAGAGTCGGACACTTCACTGACTGAGCCACTGAGTGATCCCCTGACTGAGAATCCCCAGAGACTTGGCTCTTGTTCATTCTCTAGTATTACAGTATTCTCTAGTATCCTCTAGAGTATTACGCAGTATTACGCAGTATTCTACAGTATTCTCTAGCATCACGCAAATAACTGACTTTCAGTTCTATTTGCTACAATAGTCAAAACATGTAGCTCACCAAAAAATGGTTTTAAAAGCTTAAATTTAACTGAAACTCAACATTTGAAAGATGTTCCTTTCCTATCTCAAGTAGGAAACATTAATAAGCAAAGCAGCTAATCTATAGTGATGTTAACCCAGACGAGGGTCTGCGGTCAGGAGTTTTCTCCAAGGAGTATCGTGCCAGAATCAGGAGAGACTTGAAGAGCCGGGTGTGAGTGGCAGTGGGAAGCACGAAGAGTTCTAGAATCTTCATTACGGACACAAGAATTTCTGGTGGGTTTAGAGGGTGAGCACATTGGACTTCCCTATTTAGTGTTAAACCAAAATTCATCATCGCCCTGGTCAGCTAAACCGGAAGGCTATTTTGACAGGTAGAGAAATGGATTTTTGAAGACACAACAACTCGTGTGAAAGCCAGTGAAAAGACTTGAGGGCAGTGACGATGAGTTGTCTCCAAGTGCTCCCCACTGGTGAGCTAGAACACACTCCACTTTTGACACTGAAAAGCAGGGGCACTGGCATTTCCGGTGACATCCTGATGGTACTTCAGCTGAGCCTGGGTGTGTCCGTCAGGAGCTGGGGTGAGAAGCCCAGTGGACAGGTGGGCAGGACGGGGCACAGTGATAAGACCCCGAGAGCTAAGTCTCTTGGCTTCCCGGCAGCGCGTGGGCGGCCCAGAGTGGACCAAACACCTACTCACCCAGTGTTTCCGATCAACGTCTTCGTCTGCGTCCCACTTCCGCGTTAAGAAAGGGTGTTTTTTGCTGATTATTTCTCCTTCGAAGAAGGTCGTGAGAGTTGGATACTCCTATGGTAAAAACCCAAATACCAAAACAAGATGTTGAACAGCAGTTTTAACCTTTCCCAAAGGAAAAATCAACCTTGCTCTTTAACTTCTCCCTAGGACTTTGAAAAAACGGTCACACTGGCTAAGCAACAACCCAGAGTTAGGTCCAGAGATCTGCCGATGGCTGTGGAGTCAGCTTGAATTGGAGGTGCCCACAAAGTCTCTTGGACGTTATGAACTTTGCCAGAAGCAGAGAATCCTTCCCTGACTTCATTTGTTATGTACTAATCACTCGAAAAGAACCTGAACAAGTAAATTCTGAGTATTCTAGGATGCAAAGCAGATGGTAACTAAGTTGATTTTACTTTCCAAGAAAAACACCCCAGGAGGCTCCACAATCACAGCATTCACAGCTCAGTCTCCCTGACGCCATGCCCACTGGTTCTCAAACTAGCTCAGTCATTTGTCTCCTGTGCCCGTCCGGGGAGTGGGTTTTTTGTGGGGTTTTTTTTGGTTGTCGTTGTGGTTGTTTTGTGTTCTTTTTTTAAAGAATACCTCGATGCGTTAGAGTAACATTTAATTTTATCATATGAACTAAGGCAATTTATACTGGGGAAAATATACATAAATCACGTCTGCAATGGAAAATCACAACAACGGGAAAAAAAAAAACCCACAAAAACGGGAAAAAATAAGCTGTCATCCTAACTGGGTGCTTAGAATGCTCTTGTCAATTTTATTTGATATTTGTTCATCTGCTAAGAAGAAGGCACCAAAGATTCTGACAAATACTAATGGAAGAAAAAGTTAACAATTTAATAAGTCCACCATTTCTCTGCATTTGTAAAACCCAATCAACTGACTGACCAACTAACCAACCCTTCAGCCCAGCCTGCCAGCCTCTGGTGCTTCTTGGAAGCATGATAATGGTGGTCAGTGGCCTGGCAAACCACGGATTACAGTCAATGTCCTTGGGACTAGAGGTCCCACTTTCTTCTTCAGACACTATGTATGCCCCTCTTATTCTGCATCAAACATCTACGTGTGTTTAAAATCAATCTGTTCTGGGGCGCCTGGGTGGCTCAGCCAGTTAAATGTCTGACTTCGGCTCAGGTCATGATCTCGCGGTTCATGAGTTTGAGCTCGGCACCAAGCTCACTGTGGTCGGCGTGGAGCCCACTTTGGATCCTCTGTCTTCCTCCCTCCCTCTCTCTCTCTCTCTCTCTGTCTCTCTCTCTCTGCCCATTCCCAGCTCATCCTCTCCCTCTCTCAAAAATAAATATTAAAAAAAAATTTTATATAAAAAATAAAATAAAATAAAATAAAATAAAATAAATCTGTTCCGATGGCTTTGCTACTTCTCTTGGCTTGGCCTGCCATGATGTAGCTGGGGACGTCGCTAAGAGATAGCAGTTCCCAGGAAACAGTATGGCCGCCCGCCCGCACAGGAGCAGACTGAAGGGGCCTGCTTCACTACCCAGCACCGAGGCTGGCGGCTGTCTTCACAGTGAACTCTGAGATATATAACACCCCCACCCCCCACCAAACCTCAACCCTTTACCCCCGACACGGTGGCCGGGTTCCTCGTTCAGGTATTTATATATACGGAGTGAAGAAATTAAAGAGGAGATTTCCTAAATGGAAACCTGATTTTAAAGGTATAAATAAATTATCCTCATCTGTTTTAGGAAGAACTGCTAAGGGAGAAAGTTCTGTATCAGTACCTGACTTGAGATTTTAAATTATTTTATTTTAATGTTTCTTCTTTTTTGAGAGACAAAGAGAGACAGAGCGTGAGCGGGGTAGGGGCGGAAAGAGGGAGACACAGAATCCGAAGCAGGCTCCAGGCTCTGAGCTGTCAGCACAGAGCCCGACGCAGGGCTGGAACCCACAAATCGTGAGATTATGACCTCAGCCGGAGTCGGACGCCTAACCACCTAAGCAAGCCATCCAGGCTTGAGATTTTAAATGAAAAGCTATACATATTGATTTTCTGAGGTTTTAACTTTTTTTAGCTTCCACAAGAGAGAAAAGAAGGAAATGATAAATGGGCCCTCTTACAATACGAAGAAAATACTTATGGTTCAAATAGAAAGTCTTCCTAGTGAGCTGATTCTGCACTGACATCTCTCTAAAAATATCTCAGGCAGTTAGATAAGGGTGACTGCAAGGTACCCCGAACTCTGAGAATTAAAATAAAATAAATACTGCCTAATGAGTGCGAGTCAACATGTACAGAAGTTACCAAAACCACGAACTATCTCTCAGGGCAGGACCAGGAAATTTAAGCACTTGACTACAGCCAAAGTGGCAGTAACGTATAAACTCAAAGGAAAAACTCTGTCTGCGGGAAGGTCGTCAAAAAAACGAGTCAGAGAGAAGAGACACGGCTAGCACCCCCCACTCTCACCCCCGGAACAGGCGTGGGCTTACTACAGTGGGCCTAGCAGTCGTGGCATTTAAGTCGTCCAATCCACTCCCCGCACGGTTAACAGGCCCACCAAAAACTCTCCAGTAATGGGTCTGGCTTTCCGTGTAGACCTGCCTCCCGGGGGGATTAACACCCACTGGCTACTAAGTCAGAGAGGACTTCTGGAACGTGCATGTACCTCATTTTAAAATGAGTAAATGCGCATTCTTGTTCATACATCAGTCCTGCTGAGTTTGATTAGCGTGACCTATCTCCCTGGCCTGGCTCAGAGCAAGTCTAGCACAAGCTCAGCAGAAGCTTTCAAACCTGTCTAGTGAGTGAGTGGAGGAGGGCCTGGCCGTGACTCTCCCAAGGCTGGGCTCCTAGGCCCTGTGCCAGCTTCTGGGCCTCCCTAGAAATGTCCCTTCTTTCTGCTGGTGGCGGGCTCAGAATTGCAAAAAAAAATGCTACCTGACGCCCATTCTTCACAATTCTGGGATTCCATTTCCACAAGGCACACGGACTTTGTAATAACTGTGCTCATTCGTGAACGTGAGGCAGCCAAGAGACCAATGATCTCCAACTTAATAGTTAATTTTCCATGTGGTGTACACGAGGAAGACTATGGCTAAAACTCAACCATTTAAATGGTTTTATTAAAATCAATTACATATTCGATATCCTAACAACTATAAACGTTAAAGCAAACAAACACGAACAGCTGTATTTTAGAATACGGGTATAAAGTCATTCGGAGAATCCTCACCCTTTCTGGCATTTCAGTGATCGTGTCCAGTGACCACGTACTGGATTTAGAATTTCAAAGGTGAGTCCATAGTTGTACCACACCATGACTATCCTAGAAGCCAATGAACTGTACATTTTATTAGTTTTTTTTAAGTGGGCGCCATGCCCAACGTGGGACTTGAACTCACGTCCCTGAGACCAGGAGTCACATGATCTTCTGATGGAGCCAGCCAGGCACCCCCTGCATCTTACATGGGTGACCTGTGTGGTATGTGAACTGTATGTCAGTAAAGTAACTAAAAAGGTTCTTAAAAGAAATGAAATCCAAAGAACCCCGACGTCCTAGGAGCCTCAGAAACACAGCCGCCTTTCTCTAATTCAATGCCACTTGAGGGCCACACCTGAGTCCACGGCTCAACCCGGCGCAGACCAGTCTGGGGGGGCCATGTGCTTGTGAGGCCGCTCGTGCGCGGGCGGGAAGAACTGGCCAGGGGGATGGTCTCCTCATCCCTGTCATGAGCCTAAGTCCCCTTCCCGAACCGGCCCCAGCGAAGGGCCGAGCTGGCAGCTCCTCAGGGAGCCTGCTGCTCATGACTCAGAGCTTCCCCCACCTTGTTAGGGTTACCTGCTCCTGATGGAAACGTCACAGAGGTTCTGTACACGGTTTGGGGATTTTTAACGCTACCTGCCATTTCCGTGCAGCTTCCTATGACCAGAGTGGCTGGTTTTAGAATCGGTGCTAACATTCCAGGTGACGGATGTTGCTGGCTTCCTTATGAAGTTAAGTGTTCGTGTCCTGTGCTCAGTGAATGCATCTGGCTGCCTGTTGTACGAGTTGGGTATACTCTATTCACTTTGTTTCCTACTACCGCAAACTCAAAGGCTGGAATCCTTCCTTTTGCCCTCATTTTGTACCCCTACTAGCTTGGGTAGCGTTCTAGAAGGGAGGAGTAGTTATCTTTTCATGTCAACACCAGACTTCATAGAAAAGTCTCAAACTTCCAATAGAGAAGCAGAACCAGATGGAATCAAAGAGATGGAAACAATGGTTTCAAGACAGAGGATGGTCTGTGCCTTAGTTAGCACCCCCCCCCCCATTTGTATTATACTACAGTCTATACCTCTTACTCTCACATTCTTTCTTTCCCACTAGGATAAGCCCCTTGAGGAGACAGAGCGGGTATTTTTCATTCTTATTAAGGCCATGGCACCAGTAAAGGGCAAAGCAACAAGGTCACTCTGACCTCTCTAGGGCTCTGTGGAGCATTTCTCAACACTGCTGGGCCACGGAGACAGTGAGGACTGATCAGGCCACAGGGCTCAGCAGCCAGGTCGGGCTGGAGTCAGGCGGCCAGTCCAGTCCCCTCCTTCTTCTTCCTGTTTACTCACCAGCAGGAAAACAAAGGATGCTCTTTCTTGTTTTCTATATTCCCAGGAGTTCTGAGATTTAAAAAGTTGGTTCAAGGAAAGGAAAACAGTCTACATTTCCATAGCAGCTACTCCTGTTAGAAACTGATGATGACTTTTTCATTGTTCCAGCGAACTAAAAGGTTTAAGGAATTCCAAAGACCTTGGCTCTGGAAGGATTAATGCTTGCCTTAGAAACCTTAAAACTTCCGACGGCAGGTGAGGAGGGTCGTAGCTGTGTTCTTACCACATTTTTTTTTTTCCACAAAAGGATTAAAAATGAAATCAACAGTGTTGGTAACAACACGATGTATTTATAAACTTCTACAGATTTGTGACTCTGTATACTTTCCAACAGGGCACATGAAAACCACATGCTTTGAGCTCACTGTATGAGAACGACACTTAACAGGGCACTTTAATCAGGCCTCAGAGTTGACTGCTGGTCCTTCACACTCTGAGCACGAGGAACACGCGGTCCACCTTCCAGTTCTAGTTCGTCTGAGTGAGTGCTTACCTCCGTAAGGCCTTTAATCTTCAGGTACCCACAAAGGTAAGAGTTCCCCGTGTCCACATGCTGGAAAGAAAGGACACACAGCCTCATTACAAACGGAGGAACCACTGGGAGACCAGCTGGGGCTGCTGCGGAAAACCATGTGCCCGGCCGTCAGAGGCCAGGTGGGCTGAGGGAGGCCCGGAGGTTGGTGGGCACCTAGCACGGCCAGGGCTCACCTGCCTTTGAGACCTTTGTGAGTCCCCCCCACCCCCTGCCCCACCCCGCCCCCGTGCCTGTTCAGAAGCTACCTGATCTCAGGACCCTCTCAACCTCCTTCAGCTGAGTATCTTGAGACCAAAGTGCCTTTCTGGAACAGTGGGCCCGCTCAACACAGGTCTCCGACTGGTCTGAAAAATGTACTCCTCGCCCGTATTTATACTCAGCACAATCCCGCATTATTTCTTTACGAAATGGGCAGCATATCCCGGCAAGGCATCTTAGGAAGACTTCTCTGGCAAAAATTGCAGTTGTGAACCAAGACGCTGACCCCAGAATGGAAAATACTGGGAGGGGCCACGCTGCCCATTTCATATATGAATGCTTGTGTCTCCTGATGAAGAGTTAGGAGCCTAAAATAAACAGGGGTAACAGGCAACATAGATTTTGAGGTGTAGTATGTACCAATTACGGGTTGCTGCGACATGGCCCGGTACCTACCCTACAACCAAATTCCTCCTTTTCCATGCTGGCAGGGCCCAGATCTCGTTCTGACACCTACCCTGCCCCCACAAGACCCGATCAGCCTGAAGGGTGCAAGGCAAACCCGTGCCCCTGTCCCCTTGTGAGTCATCAGTTTAGGGGTGAGTGACCCGATTCTGACCAATCAGGTATGTGCGTAAGTCTCTTGGGTGCTGCTGGGAAAGACTGGGGCTTCCAAAGAGGCTCTCTTTCTTCCCGTGACGGCGGCAGCACCTGCACGCGGTGCCCAGGGCAGCCACGTAAAGACCCTGAGGGGAAACAGGCCGGGAAATGCCAAGGATGGCGGCACGGAAACGTGGAAGGAAACGGGCCCCCGCATGAGCCAGTCTGGAGCCAAGCCACCTCCAGGCTTCTTGTAACCTGAGACGGCAGGTTCACCCCTTCTTTTAACTATTCCGAAAAGGGTATGGCTACCTACAGCTGAGTGCACCCTAAATGAGCCATTTCACCCAAATCCGGATGGACTGATCCCCAACAGGCAGATTTTCAGATTTCATGCTGGTTGGGCTCACGGACAAAGCAAACCCCCGGAATTAAAGCGAGACAAAGCACCCCGGTGCTGCAGCACGCTGAGATTTTTGTGTCAAGCGAGGTCTCATTTTAAGCAACTTGGAGAGTCTTGTGGTGTTTATCAGGTCTGGGGACTTAACGACTTCCAATTACACCAGAAATCAAATACTAAGGCCATCTTTAGGGGCGCCTGGGTGGCGCAGTCGGTTAAGCGTCCGACTTCAGCCAGGTCACGATCTCGCGGTCCGGGAGTTCGAGCCCCGCGTCGGGCTCTGGGCTGATGGCTCGGAGCCTGGAGCCTGTTTCCGATTCTGTGTCTCCCTCTCTCTCTGCCCCTCCCCCGTTCATGCTCTGTCTCTCTCTGTCCCAAAAATAAATAAACGTTGAGAAAAAAAAAAAATAGGGGCGCCTGGGTGGCGCAGTCGGTTAAGCGTCCGACTTCAACCAGGTCACGATCTCACGGTCCGTGAGTTCGAGCCCCGCGTCGGGCTCTGGGCTGATGGCTCGGAGCCTGGAGCCTGTTTCCGATTCTGTGTCTCCCTCTCTCTCTGCCCCTCGCCCGTTCATGCTCTGTCTCTCTCTGTCCCAAAAATAAATAAACGTTGAAAAAAAAAATTTTTTTATAAAAAGAAAAAACAATAAAATAAAATAAAAAATAAAAAAAATAAAAACTGTAATGAATGCAGTCAGCCAGATGAGGTCAGCACCAAAGCAAATGGGCTTCGATAAAGCTAAAACGCTCCCACAGTTCGGTGCTGGTGACAAAGGTATTCCATGTGAAAACCGCCCAAGCATTTAAAATATCCTCATCTCCGGGCCTCGGCGCTGGACGTCATCCAAAGTGGCTGATCTGCACTCACACGGTTCAGCAAAGAACTTTCATTAAAAGACACACAGCTCTAACCTGAGGCCTTAAATTTCACGTATGCAATTCTCACTGAATTCAATATAGTTTGGGGCTTCACAGCTGCTGGAAAGGGTATCAGGTGGCCAGGATACCTGCTAATGAGATTAAAAACTGAACTGTAAATTGGCTAACATTTTGCGTGGATTATCACGTGCCTGAGAATCAGAATTGCAGTTTGGCCTCCGTTCAACCACGGGTCTCTCCCATTCTGCCCAAATTGATCTTGGTGATGGTGGGTGAACTCAAATACACTACGACGCAGAGAACTTTCACCAAACGACGGACCAGCATCTCCATGGGAAGGATGACAAGGCAAACGTTAGGCAAGGAAGTCTGACAGCACAGCTGTGTCCAACAGCTGCTCTTTTTAATATGCTGTCACGGTGACCCTGGCCTTCACGTTACTCTTGGCTCTTTGGATGGCAGAGGAGGAACAGAGTCGTCAAAGTAACAACGGCAACAACAAAAACCTAGTCAGAATCTCACGAAGGTCTGGGGGAGCTCTTTAAACCGGAATTTCAAGAAAAGAAAGTGCTCCAAAAAAGCACAGGAAAAGATGTGCAACATCGTTAGCCAGTTAAGGAGATTCCAATCAAAACCACAATGAGATAACCACCTCACACCCACTAGCATGACTACAATCAAAAAGATGACAAATATATAGCAAGCGTTGACAAGGCTGTGGAGAAACTGGAACCCTCATTGCCCGGTGGGGGGAGTGCAGAATGACGTAGGCACTTTGGACGTCGGTCTGGCAGTTCCTTAAAATGTTAAACACGGAGTTACCATAGGACCCCGCATTCCACTCCTAGGTTTCTACCCAGGAGAAATGAGGAACTCGTACAGGAATGTTCACAGCATCACTACTCACAAGAGCCAAAAAGTGGAAACAACCCAAATATCCATCTACTGCTCCAAGGATAAACAAAATGTTGTACGTCCGTACAACGGATTATTATGCACTGACATGCTATGACATGGGTGAACGCTGAAAACATTATACTTGGTGAAAGAAGCTAGACACAAAAGGTCACATAGCATACGACTCCGTTTAGTACAAAGTGGCCAGAATAAGCAGATCTTAGGGAAAATAAAATTAGTGGCTGCCTAGAGTTGAGAAGGGGTGATGGCTAAGGGGTGGTGTTTCTTTCTTTTTTTTTTTTTTTTAACGTTTATTTATTTTTGAGACAGAGAGAGGCAGAGCGTGAACGGGGGAGGGGCAGAGAGAGAGGGAGACACAGAATCGGAAGCAGGCTCCAGGCTCTGGGCCATCATCAGCCCAGAGCCCGACGCGGGGCTCGAACTCACGGACCGCGAGATCATGACTTGAGCTGAAGTCGGACACTTAACCGACTGAGAGGGGTGGTGTTTCTTTTGGGGGTGATGGAAGTGTTCTAAAGTTAGACTGCAGTGATGCTTACCCAAGTGCGTGACTCTACTAGAAACTACTGAAATTGTATGCCTTAAATTGGGTGGACTGTATGATACGTGAATTGTATCTCAATAAAGCTCTTATGAAAAAAAGCAAGCAAGCAAGCAAGCAAGCAAGCAGGAAGGAGGCTCAGGTATGAAAGGCAGAAGTATTCTAAGAAGGCTGAGTCTAAGAAACTAGTCCTGGCTGTAAAACCAGATGATGGAATAAGTCACATGTCACTAACTGTCTCAATGATGGACAAACAGGTCACCAGCTCAGAAGTAGGGCAGCATTCCTGGGCATGACCACCGCTCCCACCATCAAGACATCCTACTGGAGTGGCTTCCAGCCATCAGCCAGGTCTCCGCTCTGGGCTACCCTGAGACCAGTCACGCGCCAACTCAATCACCACGTACACTGGTTCGCGAGGAAATGGGCATCTGACAAGACTTCAGAAACAACACACCCATGACAGAAGGGGGTGGCTGCTGTGAGAACCAAAGACAACTTCTCTTTGACACTTAGCTACCCTGCCAAGTCGTCCCCTACCACCCCGGAAACCATCAAATGAAACAATGGGTGCAAATTCAAGATCATTCCAAACATGACCCACAACCAAGGATCTCACTTCCAGAATTTTATGATTTGTTGCAGAAAAAAAAAAAAAAAAAAAAAGCCTTTACTTCACAGTAAATTCTCACATTTTAAGCAGAAGGGAAGAGGGATCACCCTATCATAGATCTAATTATGGAGAACGAATGGCTCAGTCATAATAGTTTTCCAGTTGTAATAAATATCATGGCTCATGATAGCAACTTAAGTTTACAGACCAAAGATACGATTAACGTGATGTTTTCCCAATCGAAAAAACAGGAAACTGTTGATTCCCACAAAACAGTAAGAAAAAAGAGGTTAAGGATGCCCTGCTGTTAGCAAAAAGAAAATGTATCCCCACTGACTTCTGGGTGGGAGACCCACTTGCTCAGAGGAGAGGCTGTTTAAGATTTAACGTTTTTAAAGAGCCAAGGGCACATCTTTAAGGAAAAGACACGGCTTACGTTCTGTCCTCACGCGTGGGGGCAGTAAGGTGGCACACTTAGGTCCTCAGAGCTCTTGTGAGGCCTTTCAAGGGGCCAGACGTTTGGAGGGGCTTTGGGGAACAGCCTAGGAGGTGGGGCGTCAGGCTAAGGAAAAAAGGGGGCAAAGGGAGGAGGAAAGTGGGTCCTGAGGCAGGCAGGGGTAGCTATGGAGGAACAGTTTTGCAGGGAAGGGGGAGAGAAAGGAGTAATAACTACTGTTGACCTCCTCCCGCTGGGAAAAAAATATCAAGTGTGTTACCACTTGCATGAGAGGGGTGAGGTGCGGAAAAGGGCCAGAGTGGGTAAAGCTGAGCTCCAAAGCTATCAGGGGCTGGCAGCAGGTACTTAGAAATTCAGGTCAGACGGGGGGGGAGGTAGAGAGACAGCAAGGAAATACTGTGTGAGAGATAAT